GGGTAAATCAACCGATTTTTCATGATTCCTTCAAATGATTTATTCAGGGATCTCAGGGGTAAATCAACCGATTTTTTATGATTCCTTCAAATGATTTATTCAGGGATCTCAGGGGTAAATCAACCGATTTTTCATGATTCCTTCAAATGATTTATTCAGGGATCTCAGGGGTAAATCAACCGATTTTTCATGATTCCTTCAAATGATTTATTCAGGGATCTCAGGGGTAAATCAACCGATTTTTCATGATTCCTTCAAATGATTTATTCAGGGATCTCAGGGGTAAATCAACCGATTTTTCATGATTCCTTCAAATGATTTATTCAGGGATCTCAGGGGTAAATCAACCGATTTTTCATGATTCCTTCAAATGATTTATTCAGGGATCTCAGGGGTAAATCAACCGATTTTTCATGATTCCTTCAAATGATTTATTCAGGGATCTCAGGGGTAAATCAACCGATTTTTCATGATTCCTTCAAATGATTTATTCAGGGATCTCAGGGGTAAATCAACCGATTTTTCATGATTCCTTCAAAGGATTTATTCAGGGATCTCAGGGGTAAATCAACCGATTTTTCATGATTCCTTCAAAGGATTTATTCAGGGATCTCAGGGGTAAATCAACCGATTTTTCATGATTCCTTCAAATGATTTATTCAGGGATCTCAGGGGTAAATCAACCGATTTTTCATGATTCCTTCAAATGATTTATTCGGGAATCTCAGGGATAAATTTGTTCAATATTTAGCTAATATATATATTACTGACGCCTTTGTTTACGGTTTTATTTATTCCAGTGAGCGCAGTGTGTAAGAGCAACGCCAATTTAACGTTGAATGTTGTGCTTACTGGAATATTATCAAAATAAAAATTAACCAAAACTTTGGTAGTTTTGTGGTAACATTGATAACAAGACAACTTGTAACAAGAAACAAACAGTCCAAGACCAAGAGTTATCGTTAATTTAAATGTCTACTTACGAAACCTATGCATCTTTCTTTAATCTTGATGGCTTAGGATATATATATTTAACAATTTATGAGCTCCGAAGCGCTAAAAGATTGTCTACAATAACCTTGGAATGTGAAGTTTACAAGTTCGTAAACTGTTCAATAAATACACACTAAGCCACCATGATCGTGGAAAGATGTACAGGGTTCGTAAGTGGAGACGTAAATGCTTGACACATCCTGACCCCTGGTTCATGGCTGCATCAGAAGCCCTCTAGCAAGAGCCTCTCCTTAGCCTCTACCTACAACTGTCTCCTGAGGAGGGTGAGGATATCTTTATACTCATTAACAACAAGAAACCTCTCTTAATTAGAGAATCCTATTACTGTATCCTGATAATTGATAACGCAGTTATATCCAGATTTCCCACTATCGACTTCATAATGGTCCAGGACGGACCGAAACGTCGTCGTCTCTTCAATTTCTAGTGTGTGGTCTGGTCAACATTTTCAGCCACGTTATTGTGACATCATCTGCATATCCAGATCATTGATAACATAGTGCTATCTGGATCATTGACAACTCAGAGCTATTCATATAATTGATATCACATTGATATCCAGATAATTGATAGAACACTGATAATAATAGTCATCTAAATCATTGATAACAGAGATATCTCATCATTGATATCACATTAATATCCAGATAATATTTTTTCACTACCACAGTCGTGGCCACACATTTACGAAGCTAACCAGCATATATACATTTACTTCTGTCCTCCATGGACAGGGTTAGAGATGTGTTAAACATATAGTTCAGGGATTTATTGAACAATCAATCATATAACTGTTCGAACAGTGATAACCTGAACACTGATAACAGAGCTATCTCGATTATTGATAATACAGTGCTATTTACATAGTTGATAACAGATATATTCTGATCGCTTGATAACACAGTGATATGAACCTAATATTTAGTTTTCCTCAAATAGTTATTTTAATTCCTTATTAATGACTCAGTTTCATAAACACTAATTATGTTAAAATTTAAATTATTTTTTATTGCTTTAAGAGTCTAGTTATTTGTACTATTACTTCTCTTTCTGTATTATTCTTATATAGGTTAAATATGGCATAAAGATGTGGTTAATAAATAGTAAATAAGTAAAAAAAGTATATTGAGGTTAATGTTAAATAATTAATATTTGGACCTAAATGTTAAATGATAAATTTATAAGTTAATAAATTGAGGTTACAGTTCTCTGTATATCATAGTTTCTGCTGGTTATCAGAATGCATTCAAGTGGAGGAAATTCCGTTCATGTAGAACACTTCATTTATTTATTAAACCTATATACATGACTTCATTTTATGTGTGTGTGTGTGTGTGTTGATGTAGTCCGTCTTAAACGGACTAAGACATAAATATATGTGTCCCGGTAGTACAGTCCGGTTCCTTTTCGACTCACAATCGGGAATTCCGGGTTCGTATCCCGAGCGAGACAGAAATAGTTGAGCCCATTTCCCATCGCCTTATGCCCCTTAATTTAGACCTAGCAATAAATAGGTATCCAAGAGTTAGTCAGCTTGTCGTAAGTTACATTCTGGGGGTCAGTAACTTCCTTTCACTCCTATTCTTACAACATGTACTCTATCCACATGAGGTTATTACTAAGGCGACTGTAATGTCATTGTATTTTAAAATCGTTTGTTAAAGCTTAACATTAATGTATCAAGGCTGATTTCTTTACTGGTGTCTTTAATAATTCTCCTTTTTCTACTCTATGGGAAACCTTTCCTCAGTGTCTCTGTTTAATTGGTATTCCTTGTCTTACTTTTATGTGTCTTAATTTATCGGTTATATTCAGGTGTGTTTTACTTTGCACATCTTGCCTTAGTTTATGGCTATTCTCAGCATACCTTGCATCAGTTTATTGTTATACTGCCTTAATAACACACCTTGCCTTAATATGGATATTCTCAACACAACTTGCCTTTATTTATGGGGGTATACTCTAGTTTATGGGTATATTTAGTCTGCAAAGTAGTTGCATATCTCCATAATTTTGCTTCATTGCCCAAATTACAATTACAACAAAAATTATTATATATTCCTCATATGTGTTTAAAAATATGCTGGGACCAAGGGACACGCAATGAGGCTCACTACTTGTTAAGCTGAATAGTTTGGAAGCTTAGCGTTGAGTGGTTAGAAGATTTTACGATGAATGATATATAAAACTTTGCACTGAACTGATAACAGTTTTTGCACTGAAAGATTTAAAGCTGTGCACTGACAGCTTTATAAAGCTTAGCGCTGAACAACTTTCAGCTTCGCAGTGAATGATTCGTAAGCCTCTTTACATGATACGAATAATTTCACATGATTCTTTGTCAAGGTAAAACATTAAAGATAAATCAATTTAAAATTTTATAATCGCTTCTAATTATATATATATTGTGTTCTCTTCAGTTGACTTCATTCAAGATTCACAATCGTGAATTCCGGGTTCGAATTCCAGGTGAGACAGAAATGGTTGGGCACATTTCCTATCACCTAATATCTATGTTCACCTAGCAGTATATAGGTACCCCGGGAGTTAGTCAACTATTGTGGAGTTGTATCCTATGGAGGGTCAGTAGTTCTACCTTAAGAGACCTTACCCCCTGATGCCTCTGTTCACCTAGCAGTGCGTATCGGGATTGATGAGATAGAGTGATTTATGACATGTTGGGATTGATGGTGTGTTGGGATTGATGAAAGCTATTATCCTAGATGAAAGCTATTATCCTAGATGAAAGCTATTATCCTAGATGAAAGCTATTATCCTAGATGAAAGCTATTATCCTAGATGAAAGCTATTATCCTAGATGAAAGCTATTATCCTAGATGAAAGCTCATACTTCCATCAGACTATTGTTGGTTGGCTGATACCTGGTTGATGGGGTTCTGGGAGTTCTTCTACTGCCCAAGCCCGGCCCGAGGCCAGGCTTGACTTGTGAGAGTTTGGTCCACCAGGCTGTTGCTTGGAGCGGCCCGCAGGCCCACATACCCACCACAGCCCGGTTGGTCCGGCACTCCTTGGAGGAATAAATCGTTTATTGTCCATCATATTATCAGACTATTACTACTGGCAATTAAACCATCAGACTATTATCAGAAATATCCTCTAGACTGTTCTGGCGTATTCTACAAACGAGCAATTCCTGGTGTTCGAATTCACTATTTGATATTTACTTTACGTTCGAAATCTTTCGTAACTGCCATTGCTCTCGTGGATTTCTGCAAATATAAATATCTTATCTGCATTTTCTTTGGTCCAGATAACTCAAGCGAACTTTTTAATCTTGCAAAAATATTGTTTGATTATATTTGTTTGTAAGTCTTAAGGTAAAGCCTTGTTAGATAGCGCTTTTAGTTAGCTAAGTTCACTTAATATTACACCATAATGGATGTGGAACCTCACATCTATCCTGTGTGCGGTAGTGGACCCATACACATCCTGCGGGTGATAGTGGGTCCACTATCCCCATATCCATCCTGTGGGCGATATTGGAAAAGGCTACAGAGGCACATAATGGGCTCAGGGACTGAATCTATATATTAATTTAGCTAAGTAAATAGCAGCACGCAAATTCTTTGACTTGTCGGTAGATAGAGAAGCTGACTTGATGAAAGGCTGGTGTTCATTATGGGTCTACTCATCTACTCTAATGTAGATGTACCCTAGCATCTACACAGGTTAGTGATGTGCCTCCCGGGATGTGGTTCTCTGGATCTGTCTCTGAAGTCCTACAACTTTATTTGACCTTGTAATGCAGTCTGCATTAAATGACAATTACTGAAAGTAAAGATATTTGTTAATGCTCTAATTGTTGACCGCTCACTGGCCTGAAATAAATAACATGTAAGGGGTACAACACCCCCTTCCCTACCATCTCAAGGTTGTAACGTCATGACAGGCAGGGTGGAGGCTGGGGTATATAAGGGTTTGGAATCCTTGCTGGGCATCAGTCTTCACCCTCTTCCTTACTCGAGATGTCTTACAAGGTACAGAAACATCCTATTTGTCCGCTATTCACAATTCTAATATTATTTAGCATTGGATGTGCTTGGCATTCGCAGAAGTTTAGATGAAGTGAGATATACATGCATACGCAGCAGATATATTTCTCGTGTTATATAATATTTTAATGTAATTTTTTATTATGATTCTCCAGGTTATGGTTTTGGTCGCTCTTGTGGCGGCCACTGCTGCCCGCCCTGATAAACCTCCTGCCCCAACCTATGGCGCCCCGCCCCCAGTTCCTGCCCCTGCGCCTGCCCCTGCCCCAGTACCGGCTCCTGCCCCAGCACCGGCTCCTGCCCCAGCACCGGCTCCTGCCCCAACCTATGGAGCACCTCCCCCTCCTCCACCGGAGGTAAGTAGCTAACACATGGGGGGGTAGCCAGTCAGTCAGTCAGTCAACTTTATACAGGAAAATGTTAATTAAACCCCTTGTTCTTGTTCTAAGTATTTATGCGACCGTTCTCGTGCGACACAGGACATGTATATCAAGTTTGTTACTGATATTTCAGGCACCTGCAAAGTACTCCTTCAGCTGGAAGGTGAAGGACGACGCCTCCGGCAACGACTTCGGCCACGACGAGACCCGTGATGGTCCCCACACGGAGGGCGTCTACTACGTCCTGCTTCCCGACGGTCGAGTACAGAAGATTGTTTACACTGTCGACGGTGAAGGCGGTTATGTTCCCGTTGTGACCTACGAGGCCCCGGCCAAGCCCCCGACACCCGTCTACACTCCACCTCCTGTCTACACCCCACCTCCCCCCACCACCCCTGCTCCTGTCTACTCTCCACCTCCCCCTACCACCAAAGCTCCTGTCTACGGTTAGAACAAGCTCCCAAGCTCCATCTACATCCAGGTTCAAGTCAATATCCCACATATTTTCATCTGAGCTCCTGTTACCACTACAGTTCCTGTCTACATTCCACCTCAAGTCTACGTCTAGGAAAAGCTTCCAAGATGCATCTATATTCTAAATCATTTCTATACCCCAGTTCCTTTCTACACCAGAGAAGCTGTCTACGAGAGAGCAACAGGATCAACTCGGATCTTGTCCCAAGCACTTGATACCCAATCGATATAAAATGTATATTTATATTAGACTAATATTATTTATTGGTAATACTCTTATGCCATGGAACAAAAATAAAGTGCATTATGAACTAAATTAAAATTTTATTACAACAAAAAATGTTCATTTGAATAAAAAGTTAATAAGAATCGAACGCCTAAAGACGAGTCAGGAAGATTTCCTTTGTCGAATGTGCCTGCATATATTATATATATATATATATATATATATATATATATATATATATATATATATATATATATATATATATATATATATATATATATATATATATATTCTCATCCTCACTCATCTCATTTATCTATGTCTCACGCTTCTCTATCTCTCTGATATATCTTCCTTCAGTGTTGTGGCTTAGTTTACATGTATTAAAAAGTTTATGACCTCTGAAGAGCTACGAGGTTGTCTATGTCAATAATAACCTTGGGCTGTGAAGTTTACTTGCTCGTAAACTGCTCAATAAATCCACACTAAGCCACCATGATCGTGGAAGGATGTACAGGCTTCGTAAGTGGACACGTAAATGATTGACATATCCTGACCCTGGCACATGATTGCATCAAGAGCCCTCGAGGTCTCGACGTAGTGACAAGCGTTTCTTGTTAAGTGTTACTAGTTAAGAAACCTTTCTTAATTAGAGAATCCCATTACTGATATGTACCTCTGAAATGACCTTCCAGTTTACAAAATATTTATAGGTTGTAATTATGGTGTTTCACATATGTATGAGGAGAAACTGAGAGGAATCATGAGATACTTTGTAATATACACAATAAGACAAATTTCTGGAGATAATCGCCAGCTCAGGGATATCCTGATAATTGATAACAGAAATATCCAGGTTACTACCAACTCAGTGATATCTACATCATTGCTAAGTCAGTGATATTCACGTCATTGATAGCTCAGTGATATCCTTATCATCGATAACAGTGATATCCTGATAATTGGTAAAATTGTGGTATCCCGATCATTGGTAACTCATTGATATCCAAATCATAGATAACACAGTAATATCCCGATTATTGATGACACAGTGCCTTGTAGATCATTGATAACACAGTAATCTCTAGATCATTGATAACACAGTATTCTCTAGATCATTGATAAAATAGTGTTATCAATATCAGAGATAACACATTGTTAATTAGAACACTGATAACGCACATTTTGATCATTGATAAGAGAATAATATTAGCAGAATATTCAGTTTTCTCAGAGTAATTGTTTTACGTCCTAATTGGCTTAGTATTATAAATAAATAAAATAAGAATAGAAGTTTAATTATTATAAAGTAACTTTAGTACTCATGCCCAGAATTACTTTATGATTTTAGTTACTTGTAGTGTTGCTGCATTTTCTGTATTTTGTATATAGATTAAAATTTGAGAATCAGGCATTAGACAGAATTTTTTGTGGTGATTTGCATCGTGGTAAATAAATAGTAAATAATTTAAGAAATAATATTGAGGATAACGTTAAATTTGACGTCGACGTTAGAGTTAAATAATTAATATGTTGAGCTCAATGTTAAATTAATATAGAGGATAATGTTAAATAATAAATAAAAATATATTTTGAGGTCAGTATTATATAATAAATTAATAAATGAAAAAATTGAGGTTAATATTCTTTGTATCTAATAGTTTCTGAAGGTTACCAAATTGTGTTCAACTGGCAGGTGTGTAATTAATATTGGACACTTCATTAGTATAAGTTAAGTATGTGTTTATCTAGCGCATCTTAAAACATCAGATCATTAATGATCTAACACCAATTAGATCATTCTCAGAGTCTATTCCCTGCACTTATCTATTTAGATCACCTCTTACAATTATCCCATAACTCATAGTTATCAAAATGATGTCATTCTCTAAGATATCTCAAAGTGCCTCTTTAACATTCACGTTAATTCAGCACATAGTGTATATGGAATAATGATCGCCACATTCACTATTTCAGAATTACATTACAATCATTAACACATTGAATGACAATAAGAAAAGTTGTTCATTGCCTCTCATCCCTCTTCATAGACCTCCAACCCACATATCTAAAACGAATGGAAAGGGGACACACACTGTATACGAACAGACAGTTTAGTTTAGTTCATTTGTTAGGCATCTTCATTCTCATCCTGAGAGCGGTAGTGGACCGCATCCCCATCATGAGGGCGGTATTGAACTCCACACCCATCCTGAGAGCGGTAGGGGATGCATCCCCATCTTGTGGGCGATAGTGGAACTCGTACCCATCCTGTGGGCGATAGTAGAACTCGTACCCATCCTGTGGGCGATAGTGGAACTCGTACCCATCCTGTGGGCGGTAGTGGAACTCGTACCCATCCTGTGGGCGGTAGTGGAACTCGTACCCATCCTGTGGGCGATAGTGGAACTCGTACCCATCCTGTGGGCGATAGTGGAACTCGTACCCATCCTGTGGGCGATAGTGGAACTCGTACCCATCCTGTGGGCGATAGTGGAACTCGTACCCCATCCTGTGGGCGATAGTGGAACTCGTACCCCATCCTGTGGGCGGTAGTGGAATTCGTACACACCATAGAGGCAATATTGGAAAAAAGTTACAAAGGTACATAATGGTCTCAGGACCTGAACCGCAAAATTAGATTAACTATGCAAGTTGCAAACTTGACAATCTAATACACAGTTGTATGTATACCGACAATGTGTTTACGAAATATGCACTCTCATCTTCCTTCACTTCTGTTCATACAACATGTACTGCATCCACGTGAGGATGTTGCTAATGGCGAATGTAATGTCATCGTCTTTTAAAACAGTTTGTTAAAGCTTAACATTATTGAATCAAGGTTGATTTCTCTATACGTGACTTTAATGATTCTCCTTTTCCCTACGTCCAACCACTTGGGCTGGACGGTAGAGCGACGGTGTCGCTTCATGCAGGTCGGTGTTCAATTCCCGACCGTCCTAGTGGTTGGGCACCATTCCTTCCCCTCGTCAAATCCAAATCCTTGTTTCATCGCCAAAATTACAATTACAAAAAATATATTATAATTTTCATTTGCATTTAGAAATACTGTAGGGGCAAGTGAGGCGTCCTGAGGTACACCACTTGTTAAGCTGAATGGTTTAGAAGCTTAGGCTTGAGTGATTCGACAGCTTTGCGCTATATGATATAAAGCTTTGCGATGATCGATATAAAACTTATCAATAAACGATTTAAAACTTTTCATTAAACTATTTAAGGTTTGGCGCTGAATGATTTAAAGCTTTGCGCTGAGCAATTATAAGATTTAATCTGAATGATTCGTAAACTTTTTAACATGATTCAAAATAATTTCACATAATTCTTAGTCAAAATATAAAAGTCAATGCGGGTCTTATATAATGACATTGTTTAGACCGTTCATATTGAGGGGATATAAAACGGTCACATTACGTACTTATATAAGACACATAACGTACACGTAGTGGACATAACACGAAAATAGCGGACTCATTGTCGACACATTACTTTCCCTAATGTAGTTGATTACAATACTCTTATCATACCATGGGGGAGATATATATGTCAGAAATAACAATGAGAAATATTCCAGCGAAGTCGCTCTAGAATCTTAGAGGGTTTGAGATCAAGTAAGATGAAAAAATATCCCAGACAGATTACCTTACACTCCTAGAGAGTTAGTGATCACTACTTTAAGGTAGAAGTACCCTAGCATCTACACAGGTTAGCGCTGTGCCTCCCGGAATGTGGTCCTCTGGAAATGAAGATTATATAATGAAGTCTTTATTAAACGACAATTACTAAAAGTAAAGATGTCTGTTAATGCTCTAACTGTTGAATCTACCACTCACTGGCTTGTAATAAATAACATGTAAGGGGTACAACCCCCTTCCCTACCATCTCAAGGTTGTAACGTCATGACAGGCAGGGTTGAGGCTGGGGTATATAAGGGGGTTGGGATCCCATGATGAACATCAGTCATCACCCTCTTCCTTATCTGAGATGTCTTACAAGGTACAGAAACATCCTAGTTGTCTGCTATTCACAATTCTAATATTATTTAGTATTATTGGATGTGTTTGGCATTCGCAGAGGTTTAGATGCAGTGAGATATACTTGCATACGCTGCAGCTATATTTCTCGTGTATTTTATGTTTTAATACAATGTTTTATTATGATTCTCCAGGTTATGGTTTTGGTCGCTCTTGTGGCGGCCACTGCTGCCCGCCCTGATAAACCTCCTGCCCCAACCTATGGTGCCCCGCCCCCAGTTCCTGCCCCTGCTCCTGCCCCAGTACCGGCTCCTGCCCCAGTACCGGCTCCTGCCCCAGCACCTGCCCCAGCACCGGCTCCTGCCCCAGTACCGGCTCCTGCCCCAGTACCGGCTCCTGCCCCAGTACCGGCTCCTGCCCCAGCACCTGCCCCAGCACCGGCTCCTGCCCCAGCGCCTGCCCCAGCACCGGCTCCTGCCCCAGCACCAACCTACGGAGCACCTCCCCCTCCTCCACCGGAGGTAAGTAGCTAACATATGGGGGGTAGCCAGCGACTGACTTTTCCAAAATGAAAGTCCGTCAGTCAACTTTATACAGGAAAATGTTAATTAAACCCCTTGTTTTTGTTCTAAGTATTTATGTGACCGTTCTCGTGCGACACAGGACATGTATATCAAGTTTGTTATTGGTGTTTCAGGCACCTGCAAAGTACTCCTTCAGCTGGAAGGTGAAGGACGACTCTTTCGGCAACGACTTCGGCCACGACGAGACCCGTGATGGTCCCCACACGGAGGGCGTCTACTACGTCCTGCTTCCCGACGGTCGAGTACAGAAGATTGTTTACACTGTCGACGGTGAAGGCGGTTATGTTCCTGTTGTGACCTACGAGGCCCCGGCCAAGCCCCAGACACCCGTCTACACTCCACCTCCTGTTTACACTCCACCTCCCCCCACCACCCCTGCTCCTGTCTACACCCCACCTCCCGTGACCACCAAAGCTCCTGTCTACGGTTAGAACAAGCTCCCAAGCTCCATCTACATCCCGGTTTAAGTCTATATCCCACATCTTCATCCGATCTCCCATTGCCACTACAGGTCCTGTCTACATTCCACCTCAAGTCTACGTCTAGGAAAAGCTTCCAAGCTGCATCTATATTCTAAATCATGTCTATACCCCAGTTCCTTTCTACACCCTAGAATCTATCTACGAGAGAGCAACAGGATCAACTCGGATCTTGTAATAATCATTTGATACCCAATCGACATGAAATGTATATTTATATTAGGCTAATATTATTTATTGGTAATACTCTTATTCCATGGAACAAAAATAAAGTGCATTATGAACTAAATTATAATTTTATTACAACGAAAATGTTTAATTTGGATAAAAAGTCAATGATTCGAACGCCTAAAGGCTAGTCAGGAGGATTTACTTTGTCGAATGTGTCTGCATTCATATATACTCACCTTTCTCTGTCTCTCGCTTCACTCTCTCGGATACATCTTCCTTCATTGTTGGTGGCCTAATTTACATATATTAAATAGTTTATGAGCTCCGAAGCACTACGAGGTTGTCTATGACAATAATAACCTTGAGTTGTGAAGTTTCCTTCGAAAACTGTTCAATAAATCCACACTAAGCCACCATGATCGTGGAAAGATGTACAGGCTTCGTAAGTGGAGACATAAATGCTTGACACATCCTGACCCCTGGCTCACGGCTGCATCAGGAGCCCTCTAGCAAGAGCCTCTCCTTAGCCTCTACCTACAACTGTCTCCTGAGGATGGTGAGGATATCTTTATTCTCATTAGCAACAAGAAACCTCTCTTAATTAGAGCATCCCATTATTGTATCCTGAGCATTGATAATGCAATTATATCCAGATCATTGATAACACAGTGCTATCTGGATCATTGATAACTCAGAGCTATTCATATAATTGATGTTACATTGTTATCCAGATAATTGATAGAACAGTGATATCCTGAAAACTTATTCAATTCTCCACACCAACCCAATTCTTTTTCTCCATTGCATTCATCAATTCCAACAATTAACCTATCAACATCCCAACTGATAAACTCCCCTTATTAATCCTGAGACAACATTTACACCCCATTAGATCGTTCTCCGAGTCTTTTCCCTCTTACAGCTATTTAGATCACCTATTAGAATCACTTCATAGTTATCATACTGATCGCATTCTCTAAGATAACCCAAAAAAACCTCTTTTTACATTCAGATTTCCGCCATCACATGGAATAACGATCGCCACCTTCACTATTTCAGAATTCCATTACACTCATGACCACGTTGAATGACAATCAGAAAAGATGTGCATTGCCTCCCATCGCCCGTCATGGACACCCATCCCACACATCTGAAACGAATGGAGAATGGACGATGTTTCACACTCTATACATTAAAACACTTAGTTGTTTATTATGTACCTCTATACCCCTCCTGTGGGACCTCATCCCTATCCTGTGGATGATAGTGGACCCAGTGCTCATTCTACGGGCGGTAATGGGACCCATTCCCATTCTGTGGGCGGTAGTGGGACCCATTCCCATTCCGTGGGCGGTAGTGGGACCCATTCCCATTCTGTGGGAGGTAGTGGGACCCATTCCCATTCTGTGGGAGGTAGTGGGACCCATTCACATTCTGTGGGAGATAGTGGGACCCATTCCCATTCTGTGGGAGGTAGTGGGACCCATTCCCATTCTGTGGGAGGTAGTGGGACCCATTCCCATTCTGTGGGAGGTAGTGGGACCCATTCCCATTCTGTGGGAGATAGTGGGACCCATTCACATTCCGTGGGCGGTAGTGGGACCCATTCACATTCTGTGGGAGGTAGTGGGACCCATTCACATTCCGTGGGCGGTAGTGGGACCCATTCACATTCTGTGGGAGGTAGCTGGAAAAGGATACAGAGGCACATAGTGGGCTCAGGAACTGAACCTCAAACTAAGTGTAGCTAAGCAACTTACAAACTAGATAAGCTACTTGTACAGTTTTATATAAAACAACAATGTGTTCGGGAAATATTCACATATTACACTCATGTTCTTACAACACTTACTCAATACATGTGAGGTTATTATAACCACTGTAATGTTATTATTTTTAAAACAGTTTGTTAACGTTTAACATGAATGTCTCAAGGCTGATATATCTTCACACATGTCTTTGATAGTTCCCCTCTATTCTTCTCTCTGGAAACCTTGTCTCAGTGTCTATTCAGCACACCTTACCTTATCTTATGGGTATTCTCAGTATACCTTGCCTTGGTTTCTGTGCATACTTAGTCTACAAAGAAATTGGAATCCTCCATAATTTTGTTCGACGTAGTTCCTATCTACATCAGTATCAACAGGATAAGTCAATTCAGCTGTTGTCCTAATCCTTTGAAACCCAAATGGTTATTTATATGTATATAAAAGACAAAATATAAATGACTGTAATATTATATATTAGTAATGTTATTATTTAATTTAACAAAAATTAAATTCATCTTAAAATAATTAAGTATTTTTTTTACTAAATGTCATTGGTTTAAAGTTTTAAGAATCGAATGATTAAAGTGGGCCAGATAGGTTTCCCTGGTTGAGTATTGTTGTTGTTGCTTAAGATTCAGCTTCTAGGAACAAAAAGTTACAAGTAGCACGGGCTATGGTGAGCCCGTAGTGGACTTACCTGGCACAGGAGTGGGGCTGTAACTGTGGTTGAGTATGTCAGCATATTCTTATATACTCTCCTCCTCATATCTCTCTTCTTTTTTTCGTCTCCTTCATCATCATCTCTCTCTCTCTCTCCCCCTAGCGAGTTTATAACTAGGTCCCCAATTACTGCTGAGTGAACAGGTACAAAATGTTGAGGATTGATCTCAGTTAATCGTTCCCTGGTTGTCGCGGAGCGAGTGTATGTGTCCCAAAATATGTGTTGCTTGTGTTTGTTTTCTATTCGTGCCTGGAGGATCAAGCTGTTACGTCTTCGACCCTGCCTTCCTAACCGTCTGTTGTCTAATGCTTGATTGATTGATGAAGATTAAGCCATCCAAAAGGTGGCACGGGCATGAATAGCCCGTAAGTGGTGGCCCTTTTGAGCCATTACCAGTGTCAATAGATGATACTGGAGATCTGTGGAGGTGCGACTGCACCCTGCGTGACGGGAGATGTCTCCCCCGTGTTGTCTAATGCGCGGACTTCCAACCTATATTTCCTCTTTCATATCTACTGCATATATTTCTCTCACACACGCACATCCCCAGGATGTGCGTGTGGGACTTCCTGGGGATGTGCGTCTTATGTGTGAAATTGATGAATGCGTCTGCGAATGCGTCCAACAGCCTGGTTGATCAGTCCAGCAACCAGGAGGCCTGGTCGACGACCGGGCCGCGGGGACGCTAAGCCCCGAAAGCACCTCAAGGTAAGGTAAGGTCTTTGGGGTCGACCGCTGGATGGAATGGACGTGGTCTGAGGACAGGTTGACTTGAAGCCCGACAGTGGTTGGTTAATGTAACCCGATTACCGTACTCTGAGGTTATACTTTATTTCTGAATTATATCCTGAGCTATTGTAAGCTCTCAGAATATATACACCGAGAAGCAGATGTGCATATTTAGGTGTTGGTTAGGTTAGGTTAGGTTAGGTTAGGTTAGGTTAGGTTAGTTTAGGTTAGGTTAGATGTTAAAGTTTTGTTTTCGATAATTTGTATTTGTAGTACGTGGGTGAAGCATTTACAGCGTTGTGGTTCGAACTTAAGTCGAGTCGTGTGTAAACCGTTTTTCATTTATAAACAGGGGGTTTAGCGGATGCATGGAATGGACTTTGACCTTTTGTTAATGAGGACGGGCTGCCCAGTGAATACAGACCTATTGATTGCTGTACTCCACCGCCACCCACCCTCCCAATTACCTTTGTAATAATCTCAGAACTACAGAAACTCATTCATTAGTTTAAGATGCAATAAAATCAGTTTGTTTTCATCATCATTTTTTATTTTTGCAGCATTCATTACTTAAAATATATTCGTAGTTTAAATATACAGCCTGGCTTAGCCGTAGACAGGAGCTGGGCTGCTAAAAACCTGGGATGTGGGAAACAGGACCCGAGTTAATATATATGAAGAATTATACGACTGAGAGGAAATATGCGGGGTATACTGCCTAAGGCAAACAATATGGTTTTTCATTTAGCCATACACAGGAGCTAGGGTGTAGGTAGGAGCTGGGTATTGGCAGGAACTGGGGTATTGACAGGAACTGGGGGGTATTGACAGGAACTGGGGTATTGACAGGTACTGGAATCTTGAAAGGAACTGGGTAGCAGACAGCGGTCTAAAGCAGGGTTTAGCCGAAGACAGGTGCCTGGGCGTAGACAGGTGCTGGGGTGTAAACAGGAACTGGGCTGTTGCCAGGAACTGGGGTATCGATGGGTGTCGGGATCTTGGCCTCACCCTCGTAGGTCACAACAGGAACATAACCGCCTTCACCGTCGACAGTGTAAACAACCTTCTGCACTCGACCGTCGGGAAGCAGGACGTAGTAGACGCCCTCCGTGTGGGGACCATCACGGGTCTCGTCGTGGCCGAAGTCGTTGCCGAAAGAGTCGTCCTTCACCTTCCAGCTGAAGGAGTACGTCGCAGGTCCCTGCAATAACAATTAAAATAATATATACATCACGACATACGTCCTGCTAGATTAATAACAATGTCACACAAACAGGCGGCTATAATCCCTTCCTTATTGGAAGGGACAGAACTATGAGACAACTTGAATGTAGCTAATGCCATGTCTATAATCTGAGAGAGGGATAGGTAGAAAGTACTACAGTACAGATCACTGTAATTGACAGTTACACTCACTATCAGTGTGGCAGCTGAGTGACAGTTACTTTCACTCTCAGTGACGCAGTTGAGTGATATTTACTCTCACTCTCAGTGACGCAGCTGAGTAGAATTTACTCTCTCTCTCTCTCCCAGTGACGCAATAGCACTCTTTAAGCAAGCTTACAGATCTTTTGATCACAAGTTCTCTGTCACAACGTCATGATCACTGTATTCAGTGCAGTATTACCTAAAGTTAATTATAACAGGAATAGCCCTTATATAAATGTACTAAAAAGGCTGTCGAAGATAAGTACCCCAGTGAATGACGAAGATGGGTACTTCTTGAATGATAATTGTTCGTACGATGCAGATGAGGAGTCACAATAACGTGGCTGAAATATATCGACTGGAGAATGGTCCAGGACGGACCGAAACTTGTCGTCCCTTCACTTTCTAGTGTGTGTGGTTTGGTCAACAAGGTTCGTACGAGTTTTAGTCATCAGAGTGTCTACCTCTCACACTAATAAAACAGCCCCAACGGACAAAATACGACGACTTATGAACCCAAGCCACCCACCGAGCCTAACTGCCCAACGCGTAGAAAACGAGGCTGTTTGAGAGACACTACTTCTCATAGTACCCCGTATTTTGCCCACAGGGGATCATAACGTACTAAAAACGGTGTATTATCTGAAAAGACAAGCTGTTATAAAATCATCAGGACAAATGGGTGGATCTTTGACAAGCCGCCGGCTTGCTGTCTTCGTCGATGCCACTAGAGAGAGAGATGGTGGCCACAGGTATATTCAGGTGAGCGTTACGTGCTCGTTTAGACAGGTGTCAATTGTCCAGTGTAGAGATTGTTACTGACCTCCTCTGGAGCGATGGCTTCTCCGTAACCAGGAGCTGGAGCTGGGAATGGAACAGGGGCTGGAGCTTGATAAGGAGCAGGGGCTGGAGCTGGGAAAGGAGCAGGGGCTGGGGCTGGAGCTGGGAAAGGAGCAGGAGCTGGGGCTGGAGCTGGGAAAGGCACAGGGGCTGGAACAGGAGCAGGGGCTGGAGCTTGATAAGAAACTGGGGCTGGAGCTGGGAAAGGAACAGGGGCTGGAGCTGGGAAAGGAACTGGGGCTGGAGCTGGGAAAGGAGCAGGGGCTGGAGCTGGGAAAGGCGCAGGAGCTGGAAGTGGAACAGGTGCAGGAGCAGGAGCAGGGAGAGGAACAGGAGCCGGAAGAGGGGCAGGAGGTGCGGAATAACTAGGGCTTGGAGGTGGTGCGCTGCCTGGAGGAGCTAAGACATCGTCGGGGCGGGCAGCGGCGGCCACCACAAGGGCCGCCACAATCATCACCTGAGAAAAAAACAGACCAACAATCATGACCAGAGAAAAACAATCATTTCAGACGTGAAAATTAATCTTCAGCTTTTGTCATTTTTGTTTCATTGTATAAAAATTCCTTCAAAATGTCCAAATGGACGAACGTATACATTTTAAAAATTAATTAATCTGGGACAACAAAGGGGTTACTATACCTTGTAAGACATCGCTGGCGAGGAGGAAGGTTGGAAGTGATGTCCACTGAGAGATGCCATCGCCTTATGTACCCCAGGCATGACCTTGCCTGTCCTGACGTCACAGCCTTAATTAAGATGAAAAGAAGGGAGTTGAGACCTTCAGTGAAAGTTTCTTGAACCGGTTATACATTAAAATGTATAACATCACCAATCTCATCCCTAGCATCCAGAAAATCACATTTGATGCCAATTCAGACTCTCTGCTACATCAATGAAAGTTCCAATAAAGGTTGAGAAGAATCGGCAAGATGATATACCATTCTGCGTTGAGGACATCAACTGACTCCTGTTGCCTCTCACCCATGTACGTGAGGCGCTCGCTCGCATGCCCAAACATGCCTTCCTGAATACAGGGGTAAGAGAGAGAGAGGGTTTATGGTATCAGCTTTTACTATTCCAACTGTGCTTTCGTCTTTCCTGCGTTTGCTTGTCGGGGAGATGGTAGAAGTTTGCCAAGTAGAGTTTTGGACTTGATAAATAACCCTAGGGTCGCTTCCCCACTGTGCAGGAGTCAGGATCAGATCGCACTTCATCAACGCCTCGAAATGCTGTCCACGTTTTGTCGTACTGGTGGGCAGGTGTTCCTCACTTTATCCGGTGTCCCTCACTTTATCCGGCGTCCCTCACTTTATCCGGTGTCCCTCACTTTATCCGGTGTCTCTCACTTTATCCGGTGTCCCTCACTTTATCCGGTGTCCCTCACTTTATCCGGTGTCTCTCACTTTATCCGGTGTCCCTCACTTTATCCGGTGTCCCTCACTTTATCCGGTGTCCCTCACTTTATCCGGTGTCTCTCACTTTATCCGGTGTCTCTCACTTTATCCGGTGTCCCTCACTTTATCCGGTGTCCCTCACTTTATCCGGTGTCTCTCACTTTATCCGGTGTCTCTCACTTTATCCGGTGTCCCTCACTTTATCCGGTGTCCCTCACTTTATCCGGTGTCCCTCACTTTATCCGGTGTCTCTCACTTTATCCGGTGTCCCTCACTTTATCCGGTGTCCCTCACTTTATCCGGTGTCCCTCACTTTATTCGGTGTCCCTCACTTTATCCGGTGTCCCTCACTTTATCCGGTGTCCCTCACTTTATCCGGTGTCTCTCACTTTATCCGGTGTCCCTCACTTTATCCGGTGTCCCTCACTTTATCCGGTGTCTCTCACTTTATCCGGTGTCTCTCACTATATCCGGTGTCCCTCACTTTATCCGGTGTCCCTCACTTTATCCGGTGTCCCTCACTTTATCCGGTGTCCCTCACTTTATCCGGTGTCCCTCACTTTATCCGGTTCATGATCGTCTGCCTTCCTGCCTGGTGACTTTTCTGATGTCGACTTGACTTTCCTAACGTCGAGGTGGCTTTGCTGACATCGAGGTGGCTTTCTTGAACTTGAAGTGGCTTTTCTGTTGTTGAGGAGGTATTCCTGACATCAAGGTGGCTTTCATGATGTCGAAATGGCTTTTAAGTCGTCAAGGAGACTTTCTTATCATCGAAGTGGCTTTCCAATCAACGAGGTGGGTTTCTTGTCATCAGGGTGACTTTTCTAGCCAACAAGTTTTTAAAGTAATCAACCAGTATACTGTACGTCCGTCAGGACGAGCCCAAGAAACCACGATATCCTACGGAAGTAGCGTATCAACATGTTCTTAAAACTGTATGGTACTTCAGCGCACAACAGTTTATCAGGGGGTTCTAATCCGGGTGTATCCACACCCCTTTGGGGGTATGGGAACTAAATAATGAAAATATAGGACTAAATCACTCCACAATGGAACAAAAACAAATTGTCGTTAGATTACAATTAACTATCACTGCCAGTAACTAACTGTACATCGATTCCACGTATTGTACAAAACCCAACAGCAAAAATCTTACTAGTTGCAGCTAGCTTATGTATTTGTGATGTGCTGGTTTTCTATATATATAAATGATAAAATCCTAATGGTTTTCTTACGGCTGTTGTGTTCCTAGCTATCCACATGTAAATTAAAACCAATCTATTGATAGCTTTTTCAGTCATACTAATGGGACTGGTAGTGGTGGCGATTTCGACAGTCTAGCGAAGGGGGTATGCAGGACATATTAAGTAATCCATTAGGAATCGACTGTCTGGCAAAGGGGGGTAACGGGTATATATTGAGTAATCCGTTAAGGGTCGACTGTCTAGCAAATTGGGTATGGGGACACATTAAGAGTCTGTAAACATAAGAAGATTAAGATTCCTTGACCTTAGGAATCAAACCCAAGTTTCCATTTACCTTTGAGTCTTAGATCCGGACAGAAGATGGATCGAGGGTGATATGAATGATTGAGGAAGCGTTGATTGGTGATTAGTAGTCTGTAAACCGCGTATGCAAATGGGTTATTAGTTTACAAAAATAAAAAGTGATGTCACGAGTATTCTGGATTGGATTTATTCTCCTGTCATCACTGAGACTGACATATCTAGATTGATGATGTCTTTACGTTGATGAGTTTACAGTGATGTCATTCTGGTCTAGCTTTACAGAGACATTGATGTCATAATGGAGATGTTGACGTCAATGCTTTACAGAAATGTTGAAATCTTCATCGACCAGCTTTACAATGATGATAATGTAATTATGGACGCTGATATCATTAACATTTGATATCATATTGTACGTTGATGTCATTGTGGATGTTGATGTCATCGTGGATGTTGATATCATCGAGGATGTTGATATCATCATGGACGTTGATATCATTATGAACGATGATATCAAGGACGTTGATATCATCATGGATGTTGATATCATTATGGACGTTGATATCATCATGGATTTTGATGTCACCGAGGGCGTTGATATCATCATGAACGTTGATATCATCATGGATTTTGATGTCACCGAGGGCGTTGATATCATCGAGGAAGTTGATATCATCGAGGACGTTGATATTATCATGGCCGTTGATATCATCATGGACGTTGATATCATTATGGACGTTGATATCATCACGGATTTTGATGTCACAGAGGGCGTTGATATCATCATGAACGTGGATATCATTATGGACGATGATATCAAGGACGTTGATATCATCATGGACGTTGATATCATCATGGACGTTGATATCTTCATGGATTTTGATGTCACCGAGGGCGTTAATATCATCGAAGACGTTGATATCATCATGTATTTTGATGTTACTGAGGACGTTGATATCTTCATGGATTTTGATGTCACCGAGGGCGTTGATATCATCGAGGACGTTGATATAATCGAGAACGATGATACCATTATGGACATGCTCAATAACGCCCTTCTGAGACAGGAATCTCGCTAATTTTATACAACAAATTATAAGCTTTCCCTTCATGTATATATATCTGAGTCCGCCATCACTATTACCTCTCTACGACGCCTCGAGGGAAATGACTGGCCAGCATCTCTGGCATCCCAGTTCAGCACGTGAACTGGGATGCCAGTTCACATTTGAGTTTTAAATGGTCTGTAGCTTGAATATCCCCAGTAGGATTTACCTAGATCGATGTGCATGCTTGGTTCAGCTTTAGGTCTCCAGTCTTGTCTTGTCAATCACTGGTCAGATAAGGATATTACTTTGTATTCCTTACCTTCGTGTTTTATCGTCGTACTTCCTTGTAGAGATGTTAATTGAGCAGCTCGTTCTCTTGGGTTGCCACAACGGCCAAAATAGAAACATCTAACCTTTCTAGAAGGGTACGAACTAATGCAACCCACCTAACCTAACCTAACCTAACCTTCCAATGCATTGAAAACGTGGATATTTGTGAGTCGCTACTTTTTCATAGTAATTAAAGTACTTTGTAAATTTGTACAAAAGTATTTAAGTACTTTGTAAGTTGTACGTTGGGAACCATAACGTACAAAATGAGGAGTCTTGTATTTGACTCACTGCCGGGAATCCCGGGTTCGAATGCCAGGTGGGACAGAAATGTTTGGGGACGTTTCCAATCACTTAAACGTGCCTCTTCCACCTGTGTCCTCTAGTCCTGCCTCATCTGTGTCACCAGCTTCCACCCGTGTCCTCTGGTCCTGCCTCATCTGTGTCTCCAGCTTCCACCCGTGTCCTCTGGTCCTGCCTCATCTGTGTCTCCAGCTTCCACCCGTGTCCTCTGGTCCTGCCTCATCTGTGTCACCAGCTTCCACCCGTGTCCTCTGGTCCTGCCTCATCTGTGTCTCCAGCTTCCACCCGTGTCCTCTGGTCCTGCCTCATCTGTGTCACCAGCATCCACCCGTGTCCTCTGGTCCTGCCTCATCTGTGTCACCAGCTTCCACCCGTGTCCTCTGGTCCTGCCTCATCTGTGTCACCAGCATCCACCCGTGTCCTCTGGTCCTGCCTCATCTGTGTCTCCAGCTTCCACCCGTGTCCTCTGGTCCTGCCTCATCTGTGTCTCCAGCTTCCACCCGTGTCCTCTGGTCCTGCCTCATCTGTGTCTCCAGCTTCCACCCGTGTCCTCTGGTCCTGCCTCATCTGTGTCTCCAGCTTCCACCCGTGTCCTCTCGTCCTGCCTCATCTGTGTCTCCAGCTTCCACCCGTGTCCTCTGGTCCTGCCTCATCTGTGTCTCCAACTTCCACCCGTGTCCTCTGGTCCTGCCTCATCTGTGTCTCCAGCTTCCACCCGTGTCCTCTGGTCCTACCTCATCTGTGTCTCCAGCTTCCACCCGTGTCCTCTGGTCCTGCCTCATCTGTGTCACCAGCATCCACCCGTGTCCTCTGGTCCTGCCTCATCTGTGTCTCCAGCTTCCACCCGTGTCCTCTGGTCCTGCCTCATCTGTGTCTCCAGCTTCCACCCGTGTCCTCTGGTCCTGCCTCATCTGTGTCACCAGCATCCACCCGTGTCCTCTGGTCCTGCCTCATCTGTGTCTCCAGCTTCCACCCGTGTCCTCTGGTCCTGCCTCATCTGTGTCACCAGCTTCCACCCGTGTCCTCTGGTCCTGCCTCATCTGTGTCTCCAGCTTCCACCCGTGTCCTCTGGTCCTGCCTCATCTGTGTCTCCAGCTTCCACCCGTGTCCTCTGGTCCTGCCTCATCTGTGTCTCTTGCTTCCACCAGGTCTTACCTCATCCTGTCCCTAGTACTCAGACACGACTGAGACTTACTTAACTGTTACAATTGATCAGACTGTAAAAGAAGGGTTTAACATCTTACAACCTTTAAGATTTCGTTATCTTGCGGCTGCAAAGTGGAGAGAGGGGGAAGGTATTTTTAGGGACAGTATCTATATTTGACAAAAAGTGTCAAGTTTATTCTTCTACACTTATTTCTAATGCCTTTTAGATGGGCACACTCTCTCAGGTTGAGGTCCAGATTTACTCATACTATACAATTCTACACTTTTGCTGTTTTTTTCTATCTATAATCTCCATGGATACTCCAAGACGAATTCTTGCAATTCCTGATTCCCTCCTTCGGCCACCTCCGTTACATCCATAGTAAATGACGTTGTGGGCTGCGACGGTATTGTACCGGCGTACAGATTCTTTGACTTACTCCTCTCTTCTTCTGTCCTCGGCTACCTTGTCGCCGTGATGTTTGATGATGCTCCTGATTAATAAATGATTCCTGGGGACGAAGTATTCAATATGATCTTCGTCATCCCCCTCGACACAGCGTTTGTTTACGCAGATTTCAACACAGGGATCCTCCCTTCCCGTCTCCACATGACTTTCACCGTTCTCTTGGTTTCAGCCACGGTCCCTCCGTTCTCTGCTCCTGAGTCAGTGCAGATCAGTGCTTCCTGTGTGCCTCGTGCTTGGTATCTTCATGTCATAATAATGCCAGCAAGGTGTGTGAGTGCTGCTTGCGGCGAGGAGACGCGAGTCTCAACCCGGCCTTTTTCTTTGTTATCGTTTTGAAGGGGATGTTTGTCATTGCTAAGCAAGCTGCTCTTGCCCTGCCATTAGTAGAGTTGTAGATCCATTAGACAGGGACATGGGTGAGACAGGGACATGGGTGAGACAGGGACATGGGTGGAACTGGACGTAAAATAAAACAAATATATATAAACAAAATATCGAAGTATAATCATTTTTGTAATATAAAACTTTCTTTGAAGATTAATACACTCTATACGTATGGGTATGTTTACCTCTCAGAAGAAGAAAACGGGAAATATGTTCATAACAGGACAGACTGTTAGTCTCATCACGTATTATCAATGTCCTTGGGAAGAGATAGGGAGAATGGACAATATCTAATATTGTGACCAGATGTGGTAGGTGAGGGTATTGTTGGCGGAGCAGATGTGACAGGTGAGAGTAATATTAGTGGAACAGATGTGGTAGACGAGTATATTGTTAGTGGAGCAGATTCGGACTCTTGTAGAATCTCTCAACGACGACTATCGTAGCGTCGTTGTGCTCCTGACGTCGTGTTGTATGAGACGAGACACGGAAGTCCTACCTACATGCAACGTAGAATAAGGCTCCTGCACGTGAGTGCACAAGCGACCTGTGCACTGAGTGCACACCAGGCGACCAATCCACTCCCTACTGTTGCGCAACCTTTGCATATTTCAAGTCAATGTGAATTACACACTCTGAAACCCTTTACACAACGCCTTGTGTAACTCAGAAAATGTGTACTTAATACCTTGTGTAGCTCAGGAACTCTTTACTGAACACCATGTGAAGCTCAGGAACTCTTTACGGAACACCTTGTGTAGCTCAGGAACTCTTTAGTGAACACCATGTGAAGTTCAGGAACTCTTTACTGAACACCATGTGAAGCTCAGGAACTCTACGGAACACCTTGTGTAGCTCAGGAACTCTTTACTGAACACCATGTGAAGTTCAGGAACTCTTCACTGAACACCATGTGAAGCTCAGGAACTCTACGGAACACCTTGTGTAGCTCAGGAACTCTTTACTGAACACCATGTGAAGCTCAGGAACTCTTTACTGAACACCATGTGAAGCTCAGGAACTCTACGGAACACCTTGTGTAGCTCAGGAACCGTTTACTCAACGTTTCGTTAGGTCGCCGTCAAAAGAAACAGAAAACGATCATCGACCAGAGGATTTACTCAACCAAATGCCAGTGAACTAATTAGAACGTGGGAATGTGGGATGGAGGCGGGAGAGGGAAGGGAGGGGAAGGGACGGGAGGGAGGAGGGAGAGTGGGGAGGGGGTGGAAGAGGTCGAGGAAACCTTGTGTCTTCCGAAATGTAATAGATCAATAGATCAACAAATGTCATTGAGTCCATATTATTGGACAGTGTAACTAGGAATACTAAGTGTAAAAATGCATTGTTAGATTTAACAGAGTAGTCGTGAATGTTACATTTTCTTATATAGAGAAGTTATCCTGTCAACCGGCACAGCTGTAGTGAATGAAGATCTCGTGTTTGGGAAGACGAGTCAAAAGTGATAATATAATATCACAGTTTGTGTTGTAAGCGACCCAAACAACGTACAGGGCTGTGAAAACAATGCCAGCACGGATATGATGTTTAAATTATTCCTTTTGTGTAATAAAATGAACACAAGATATAATATTCTTTTATATATCGAAACACACACACACATATTTTTATATATATATATACAAGAGTTCTTATATTCTTGTAAAGCCACTAGCACACATAGCGTTTTCCTTAATCTTAATTTCCCCCTGGAATACGACCCGCCAAATCTTTTAACAACCAGGTACCCAATCACTGCTGGGTGAACAGTGGCATACGTTTAACGATTGGCGACTAGTCAATCCTCCCTGGCCAGGATACAAATCCAGGCTACTCGCTCATTTTTAGTTACATCAACAATGTAGAGACAGACTCAAAGCTCTCAGATCTGTAGTGGGGATACAGCCTTAAATACGGTGTTAATATTAAAAAAGCAAAAACTGTGTATTTAGCTTGTATAAGGTATCATGCACCAGCTTTTTTCCTGCAAAACGGCAAAAGTATTGAGTGACTGGAAAAAATGCAAAATGAAGCCCCTCAGAATTATACTTGGCTGTTCTGTAACTACCAAAGTTCTCTATTGGCGAAAAGAACTAAATATACCTATCATTCACGATTGAATATTTGAAATCAATCTTATGATTGGTCTAAAGCTTCTGCGTGATAACAAAATCAACATTATGTCAGTTGAACTGTCAAAACACATACATAATGGAACTAGTGAGTCTAAATGGATTCACAGAACAGCCACTCATATTAAAATGATGAACCTGCACGATGTATTTGAAGTTGAAAGAATACATCACTTCCTTCCACCCTGGCAGATAGTACCTTCTGACATCTTGACCCCTGCATACTCCACCAAGAAACTAATCACAAACAACCCTCATGCTCAGCT